TGCCCCGCTGCCTCCACAGTTGCAGCAGCCGCAGCAGCAGCAGTCGCCGCAGCCGCAGCCTTCGCAGCAGCCGCAGCAGCCGCCGCAGACGAGGCCGGCGAGTACTCTCCCACCTGGGTGGCCTGGAGCTGGTGGTGGTCGTGCGCGTGGTGGTGCACCGGGTGGTGGTTCTGGAGGCGGGCCCTGTCAGTACCAGATCCAGACCGGTCCTCGCCGCGGCTTCGTTTGCGGTAAGATCGGTCATTCTACTCCTCGCTGTTTTCGTCGCCTGGACGACCTGTTCCGCCAGCGCTTTGGCCCGGCGCCCGACCTCCCGGACTGGCACAGCTTGCTTAGGCGTAGCATTAGGATTTTTGACTTGGACATGGATGCCATTGTAGCGGCCTTGCATGTGATGTATGCTGATGACTCTAGTGTGCTTCCCTCTTATTACCCCGTGTTGCCTAGTGTAGCGGTGCCTAGCGTAGACTCCCCTGCTGCGTCAGGCGTAGGATCTCCTGCTTTGCTTAGCCTTGGTGCTTCCACCGCTTCACTGCTGCCTCGCGCGACTGCTGCGCTTTCCTTCACCTTGGACTCTGGCGCCTCCCGGTGTTTCTTCCGCGACTCCACGACGCTGACGCCGCTGCCTGTTCCCGCTGCAGTTACTCTTGCTGACCCCTCCGGTGGTCCCGTCGTTGCCCGCAGTTCCACCTCCCTTCCCTGTCCGGCGGTTCCTTCGGGCACTCTCACAGGTCTGCATATCCCCTCGTTCTCCAGGAACCTAGTTGGTGTCGGCTGCCTCCAGGACCTTGGCGTCACCACTACGTTCCCTGGTCACGAGCGGTATGCTGTCTGTACCGAGGCCGCCACTGGTGCCCCCCTTACCACTTTCCCCCGGGACCCGGTGTCCGGCCTGTTCACACTTGACACCGCGCCGTCCCCGGCTGGGTCTTCCCCCCCGGTAGTTGCGTCCACCCAGGTTGCAGCCGCGTGCTCCTGTCGGTCCCTCACTCACCCGACTCTCCTTTGGCACCACCGCCTTGGTCACCCTGCACTCCCACGTCTGCGTCACATGTCCCAGCACGGTCTCGTCCTTGGTCTCCCCGGTTCGTTCCCCGAGTTTCCCTCCTCCCCCGCCCCACCGTGCACGCCTTGTGTCGAGGGCCGGCTCCGCCGTGCCCCTCACTCCTCCTCTTTTCCCCCTACTACCGCACCACTGCAGACTCTGCACATGGACGTCTGGGGCCCAGCCCCGGTCCATGGGCCGCGTCGCGAGCGCTTCTTCCTAGTGCTTGTCGACGACTTCACGCGCTACACCACCGTCTTCCCCCTGGAGCGGAAGGCCGACGTGCCTGACGTTCTCATCCCCTGGCTTGTCTCTGCTCGTGTCCACCGCGGTCTCCCTGCCTTGCGCCTTCACTCCGACCGGGGTGGCGAGTTTGCCTCAGGTGTCCTTGGTCGCTTCTGTCGTGCGGAGGGCATCACCCAGACGTTTACCCTGCCGGACTCCCCGCAGCAGAATGGGGTCGCTGAGCGACGCATCGGTTTGGTCATGGAGGTGGCTCACACCTCCATGATCCACGCCGGTGCACCCCATTTTCTGTGGCCGTTCGCCGTGCGCTACGCCGCTCACCAGCTTAACCTGTGGCCGCACCCCCAGCGGCCGCAGGTTTCGCCGACCCTTCTGTGGACCGGGTCCCCTGGTGACGCGTCTGCGTTCCGCGTCTGGGGCTGCCTTGCTCACGTTCGTGCCTCTGGCACGGACAAGCTCACTGCCCGCACCCTCCCCTGCGTCTTCCTCGGTTTCCCCCTTGACGCGTCCGTCTGGCACTTCTACCACCCGCCGTCTCACCGCTTCTTTCACTCTCGCGACGTCACCTTTGACGAGTCCGTCTCCTTCTACCGCCGCTTTCCCCACCGTGGTCCCCCGGTTACTCCCCCCCTTTTCCTGGTTCCTCCCTCCCTGGTGGTCCCTGCCCCTCCCCCCCCCCCGCCCCCCCGTCCGGCCCCCTCTGGTGTGTCTCACGTCACCCCCCTCCCGTCGGTCGTCCCGGTCGACGAGTCTTCTGACTCTGGTAGTCCTCCGGCGCAGTCCTCGCCGTCTGTCCCTCCCCCGGTGTCTCCTCCTCCACCGCCTCCGCAGCCGCCGTCGCCGCAGCTGCTGCAGCCGTCGTCTCCACCGCCGCCGCCGTTGCAGCCGTCGTCTCCGCCGCCGCCGCCGTCGCAGCCGTCGCTGCAGCCGCCGCCGCCGCCGCCGCTGTCGTCGCTGCCGCCGTTTGTGGACTCTGGGGGTGTCCCTTCTGGGGGTGCCGGTGTGGAGGGTTCGGGAGGTAGCCGTCGCGCAGCTTGTGGCCCTGGTGTTGGTGTTGTGTCGCCGCAGCAGCAGTCCCCGCCGGTGTCCGCCCTCCGTCTGCTCGGCCTTCCGTCTCCTGACCCTGCGCCTGTTCCTCTCCTGCCGTCTCCCCCTCTTCCCGTCTACGGCCCCGTGTTCCCTCTGCCAGACTCGTCCCCGGCTCGTTTTCCCCCTCGTTCCCCACCCGTGTCCCCTCCTCTGTCTCCCGACCCGACGCCGCCCTCTCACGTCTGGTCTCGCCGCCCCTCCCGTGCTCGTCCTGTCTCCCCTGTCCCGCGCTCTCACCCTATGTTGCTCCGTTCCCACGCGTCTCGACCTCCCCTCCTCCCGTCTCCTCCTCCGTCTTCTCTTGTCGTTGCGTCTCCTCCTCTGTCCGACTCCTTTCGTGCCGCTCGTCCTCTTGTTCCTCGGGTCCTTGCCTCTCTCGTTACCGACCCGTCTGTTCCCGTGTCGAGTCTTGACGCCCTCGTCGCTGCGGTCGCTGACTTCGCCTCTACCCGCCGCCTTGACTACGCCACCGCTCTGGTCTCTCACCCTGCCTGTCCTCCGTCTGTCGGGGGTGCTCCTGCCCTCGGCAGTGACGTCCTGGAGGACCGCCAGTTTGAGCTTGCTTTCCTGTCCGAGGCTGCTCCCCATCTCTGTTCCATGCTGCTAGTCCCTGAGGGTGACCCAGACGCTTTCGACATCCCGACCCCTCGTACTTACGCTGAGGCGGTTTCGGGACCCTGGGCCTCTCAGTGGATAGCTGCCATGGAGCAGGAGATGGCATCTTGGAGATCCACCGGCACCTTCGTCGACGCAGTTCCCCCACCTGGGGTGAACGTGGTCGATGGCCGTTGGCTCTTCAAGGTGAAGCGCCCTCCTGGAGAGCCGCCTGTGTTCAAGGCGCGCTACGTGGCTAGAGGCTTCAGTCAGCGCGAGGGGGTGGACTTCTTTCAGACTTTCGCTCCTACCCCGAAGATGACTACTCTTCGGGTGCTGCTACACGTAGCGGCTCAGCGTGACTACGAGCTTCACTCCCTCGACTTCTCCACTGCCTTTCTTCAGGGCAGCCTTCACGAGCAGGTCTACCTGCGTCGCCCTCAGGGCTTTACTGGCACCTTCCCCCCTGGGACCCAGTGGCTTCTGCGGCGGCCAGTCTACGGCCTGCGCCAGGCGCCTCGTGAGTGGCACGACACTTTGCGTGCTACCCTTGCTGACCTGCAGTTCTTTCCGTCCTCTGCAGACCCCTCGCTCTTCGTTCGTGCTGGCTCGACTCCGTTCTACATCCTCGTCTACGTAGACGACCTGGTCTTTGCCACTGCTGACAGGGACGCACTGGCCTCCGTGAAGGCAGAGCTGCTGAAGAGACACACCTGCACTGACCTTGGAGAGCTGCGCCGTTACCTTGGCTTGCAGATCTCTAGGGACAGAGCCGCGCGCACCATCACCCTGACTCAGTCACACTTGGTGCGCCAGGTCCTTCAGAGGTTCGGCCTTCAGTTCTCCTCCGCACAGCCCACCCCTCTTCCTCTGGACCACAGACTCTCCGCTCCAGTTCCTGAGGGGTCGGTAGATCCCAGTGGTCCTTACGCTGAGCTAGTGGGTTGCCTCATGTACCTGATGACTTGCACTCGCCCAGATCTCGCATACCCTCTCAGCATCCTGGCTCGTTTCGTGGCCACAGGCAGGCACCGACCTCAGCACTGGTCTGCCGCTAAGAGGGTTTTGCGTTATCTTGCAAGTACATCGGGCATGGGGTTAGTGCTAGGCGGACGCAGGCCAGTGGTCCTTACTGGACACACAGACGCTTCTTGGGCAGACGACGCCGAGACGCTCAGGTCTTCCCAGGGCTACTGCTTTAGCCTTGGTTCAGGTGCTGTCTCGTGGAGAGCTACCCGCTCTTCGTCTGTTGCCCAGTCCAGCTGTGAGGCCGAGATCTACGCCGGTGCCATGGCGGCACAGGAGCTCCGCTGGCTGACCTTCTTGCTCACTGACTTAGGTGAGCGGCCTAGCTCTGCCCCGGTCCTGTACGCTGACAACAGGGCCATGATCCTCCTGTGTCAGGAGCCTCGACTCGAGGGCAGAGCGAAGCACATCCAGCTGCGGTACTTCCTCCTGCGTGAGCTACAGCAGCGTCGCCAGGCTCGCGTAGTACACTTAGCCTCCGGTGCCAACACAGCTGATATCTTTACGAAGGCGCTTGCGCCTAAAGATCATCAGCGGCACTGTGTGCAGCTTGGTCTGGTTCCTGTAGTCTCTCACTTACTCGGGCCTTGACTCTGTACTGTCCTATATATCTGTGTGTACACTCAGACTGGACTTGTGTCCTCTTACAGTGGTTGGACTAGTAGTGCCGCCCTGTACTAGTTCTTGCCTTGCCTGTACTCGTTCTGACTGGTCTTTTAGACCCTTGTCTCAGAGGCTGGACTAGTAGTGCCACCCTGAGCTGCTTGTCTAGAACATTCCCCTATGCAGTCCAGGGGGTGTGTCAAACATGTTTAGTTATCATGCTTGTATAGACTGTATAGGGTCATCTTCTAGAGAGTACAACAGTTAGGTATATGTTTGTGTACTCTCTCTCTCTATTTATCAATTTCACTGTTTGTTAGTTATATCCGGGGGATTACGGTATGCCTAGCTAGCTTCTTAGCTCCTTTGAACAGATTGGACAGGCGAAAGTTGTGCGCCAGCAACAGTGGTACGCATACATGCATCCTGCGGGCCAAGAAATTCTCCAGTTATAGGACCTGGCATGCAGGAGCTAATCTGACATCCATCCTTGACAATACAGTCTCTCCTACAGTATAGATCAGAAGAGTGCCACAGAATACGCTAGCACAGCACATAAAGCAAAGCCTAGTATAAGTGCGAGGTACTTGGATGAAATGAGAAGCTTGCTCTTCTTGTCTGGAGGGAAAGAGGGCACTACCTCTGGCACGCTGCAAGCTTGGCCATTAACAACCACCTCAGTTGGGAAGAGATTTCTGACATCCTTCGACGAATAATTGAAGTGCATTCCTGAGCCAAACTGCAAAAACATAGCGGATATGTAAGCAGCCCTAGGATGTCCAGGCAATGGTATTATGGCAGGAATACCCATGAACGACACAACATGAACCAAACACAGTACCTTGACTACAGACTGTACATTCCCGAGATACTTGGCGTTTGGAGCAGTTCTCAACAACCAGTTATTGTTATACTCATGCCCCCAAAACAGAGCAGTATCGTCTGCAATGAACATGCGGTAAAATGTATATTACAAGGAAAAGAAAAAGAAAACCAGGGGCAGGCTACAGGACAGCACTCACTGGATATTGTTGCATTGTTGAAGGAATAAACTGCTGAAACATTATCAAGAGTAGGCATCCTCAGCACAGCAAACCATTCAGGGATGCTCGTATTTTCCCTGTTGGCAATCGTCAACTGAGGAAAATAACACAAATAAGGGCCATGTTTATGGTGATTCAGAGAGCATGGAAATGCAAGACCTGCACCTTTGCAACGAAGCCCTCCTTATAGTAGTCCATTATGTGCCAGTGAACGTGCGATGTACAGTTGTCGTTGCACTTTGAAGAAATGGCCAGTAAGTCTGTGCTCTTCGTAATTGACTTCAAGATCATTAAGTCTCCTTCTCGCCCAACTTGTTCTGCCAGGGATGGGATACTCAATTGGTAAACATAAGACGAAGAGTTGAGAAAGCAGGACTAACCTGGTCTTACCTCGGAGACACTTCGCACCCCCAAAGGTAGTGGGGTAGGATGCGTTGTAATTTGGGGAACTTGACGATCTTTTGGTCATGTTGCAGCCACAGGCACAATTCGCGCATGGTACAACATATGGCGTCCCAAATCTAGTAATGTTGTAAGACGCAGAAAACGAGACACAGCAATTTGGCTTTTCAGCCTTAGCATTTCTGTTGCAGACATAGCGCCACGATGACAATGCAGTTTTGTTTCGACCTGCATCCAACTGTAATGAAACAGTTAGAAATGCATATTAGCGATAGATAACCTTGTATAATTACCTGAAACACAGAAGGCTGGAGTTTTTCTGCTCCACTGCATGTGAATCCTGGAAGCCCAACAGTCAAGTTTCTTGGTGGGACGACATTCTCATAGCCCTTTTTGGCCTTCGCTCGTCCTACACGCATTCTGAACTGCGCCACACTTGAATTACCCTGCACTTTCAAGTCAGTCAGGTAGAGGAGCAATTATTACGTGGTAGGAAAAGGCTGCAAATCATACCTGAACAGTGAAGAACGCAGGATCTCCGTTTGGGAAAGAAGGCATACCCAGTGTACCATTCTTGCAACACGAGAGTTGCAAGTTAAAGACTGCTGGTTCAGGATAGCTTTCTTGTGAATATGACTGTAGTGGTAAGTCCACAAAGGTCGGCTTCTTTCTACAGGTGTGCGCTGTCTGGATTTCGGGCCCATACACCTCAGCTAATGCAGACTCAATGCAGTTTCCAGCATCCGTTGCCTGAGCTCCCTTAACCTCCCAAACAATCTGCAATACACAATTCCGGGGGGGTCAGAACCAAAAGATGCACTTAAAAAAAGGAGAGAGAACAGAACATCTAGAAGTAAAACAACAAAAACGGGGCCTTAGCAACCAGATTCCAGTAGAAAGACGTCACCTCGTTTTGTTGCCACATCCACGACAATGCCCACCCGGGGAAGGAAACCCGGTGATCCTGCTGCTTGTTGTTAACTGAAACGAGAACCCAGTAGTACATGGTATCGACCCATGAAACGTCATAACGAACTTCGATGTCCCCAGCGCCTAAGTTTCCTTGAGGTGGAGGGGGTGGAGGCGGTAGGCTAACGACTGCTGTCTCTTCACAACAGACCTGTAGACTGCGATCAGATGGAAATTGTGGAGAATCCCGCTGACACTTGTAACCTGCAGTCACAGGTGGTAGTATGAGTAACTGAACCCCAAGATATGAAACAAGTTGAGTGCATACTCCATAGACTTGCTTACCAGGATTGATCATGTATAAAGTTCGAGGTAGCGCTTTCGGAGGGGTAGAAGCTCCATACTCTGTTCCGGAGATGCTAGCATTTACACTATATAAAGTAGTATCACCGCCAGCATGAATAGCAGTGACAACGGTGTCGCTAAGCTCGGGAATGCCGGATATGATAAGGTTCTTTCCTGCGATAAAATGTACGTGACGAACAACAATTGTTGCTGAACTCGGAAATGCACATCTATACATACCGGGGTATGGAAGCTCAGGTCCAACTTGAGCGTACTTGATTGCTGTAATTAATTCGTTGTGCGTGAACTCAATGATAACGTCCCAGCCTTTGACATCCCTGTTTACCTCAAATTAGTGTCCACGAGTAAAGCAGTCAAGACAAAGAAAAACGGCGGTTGGTACCTTAGGCCTGAATTCTGAAGTACTAATGTGGCTCTGAATCCGTAAGGTTGCAGGGTTCCGTTCCAGACGGATGGAATGGATATCACTTGCTGTATGGAGTAGCTGACCGTGACTCCAAGGCAAGGCCGGGGTGCACTGGGAGGTCTCACTCCACCATCTGGGAAACTCGAGTCTCAGAATGTTGCAGCCCGTAAATTCCAGCCACAAAACAACGCGTGCTCACCAAGCTTTTGGGCCGAAGTAGACGCAATAAGGACGCTGAACACAACCAAAAGCACGCTAGGGACATTTCTCGAACTCGCTATCAGAAACGCCATTGCCAGAATGACACCCTCATCACATGCGTTAGCGAATTCGTCTGACTGGAGTGGACGCGAGAAGGTGAACCCTCGCCGGTTGATGCTGCAGCTGATGGTATTCTTGATCAAATTTTGATACCCTCTATAAGGCTGGGTACTGGTTGAAACTTTGTTGTTCCACCAACTACAACAACCCCCTTCAATGATTTACAAGGTTTTCTATCTATGTACTCGGAGGCAATTATACAACTCACTCCACGTCCACGCCATTTCTTTTATCCATGAATGATCATGCGACGGCCAATGAGAATTACTCATTTTATATCCATAACCCATTTTTTATAGTATGTTATCTATAGTACATGCTCAATCCCACATTCCACCTTATCCAACAATGCCAGAGTGGACATTTAGTGCTTGGTAAAATATATATTCTTGACAAATGAAATGGGCAATACTTTTATGAGTGAAACAACGTGTGCTTGCTCATCTCACAAGAGGGTGCACATGGAACGGAAGGAACACACCAGCAGAGAAAGCCACATACAGATAACGGTACCTCATCCCTCATTCTTTCACCGCATCCATTCTCTTCCTTCTGTGTAACAGTGTAGCAAGCATCCCTCCCTGTCTTTGCTCAAATGCCTCACTTCCAGACTGCTCCCACTGATCAAAAGCATGGACATGCAGCTCCTTCAGGTCCACACCAATCAGCATCCGCCCCTCTTTGATACCCAGACATGTCGGTCCCCCAGCGGCCACAGAGGTATCCGTCGTGCCAAAAGGACGGCAGGAAGACACAACTGAATGTGTATCATTCGGAAAAAGGAGGAGGTACCGTATGCACATATGATCCTCAAACCCGGGCTCCAAGACCACCAGTCGATTCTTCCGCATTGCTTCCTCTTGGCTCTTCAATTTTGCTTCATGCTTTTGGGCTTGGAGTTTCGGGTCCTCTTCAATGTCCTCCTCACTCTTGCCACCAGCAACCTCACTGACAGCAGCCCCACTGGCAGCAGCCCCGCTGGCAGCAGCCCCACTGGCAGCAGTAGCCCCACTGGTATCAGCCCCACTGGCAGCAACCCCTCTGGCAGCAGCCCCACTGGCAGCAACCCCACTGGCAGCAGCCCCAGTGACAGTACCAGGTACAATCACACACACATCCTTCCGAGCATACTCCCTCGATAGCAGTTGCCACACGAACGCATTCCACTCAGGATGACCAATTTCCGCCAAATTCAAGTACCTTTCTTCTCTCGCTTCTCTTGCTAGGAGTTCCGTTGCTCTCGTTGGAGGCTCTGCGTCAGCTTCCCTATGCTGCTGCTTCTGTTCACGATGCCCCACACGAGGCCAGATGCCTGAGGAGCATGCATGGCGGATAAGCCTCAGCACCTTCACTCCAGCCTTTTTCAACCAGCCCAAAAGCGACGACGATTCAGTCAATTCTGGTGGACTGCACTTGTCTGGTCGCCCTCGAGCTGTCGGGGAATGGAGCACCTCACATATTGCCACACAGCGGAACCCAGGGGAGTCAAACGCAGGACCAGCGGCAGACGAGCCAGGGAAGTCTTGAAACTGACGAGCAGAGAAGGCGTCGCTTGTTCGCGAAAGAGCGAAGTTGAGGTTGGAGGTGAAGTAGATTCCTGGGCCGAAGGCTGGCTCGGACGACATGTACGGCGTTGCAGTCATGCAAAAGACGCCGTTCCTGAGTGAGAGGGAGACGACGAGAGAGAAATGGTGAGGGAATTAGGGAGGGGAGAGGAAATCGAGGTGGAAGAGAACACGACGAGGGGATCGCAGTTCGCACGTGAGAACAGCGATTTGGGGGAGGAACACAAGAGAGACAGCATGTGGAGCAGCGGCAGAAAAAGGTTCGTTGGGGTGTTGAGGAAATAACACCAGCAGCTAGCATACGGCAAATGCAACGATAACTACAGCTAGCGAGCATACAGCAGCCAGCTAACGTATGCCTTGCCTCACATCTCGACGAACAAGTCAACAAGTCAAACGATAAGTCCGTTCCACCACCATCCGGTGGCAGCACCTGAGGATGGAGAACCAGTTGAGGGTGGCGCTGCCATGGAAGGCGAAGAAGGACCCCATGGATTGGCGCAGGCGCTCGAAGCGGGCCTGCTTGGGGCACCCGTCTGCGAACACTGCCAGCTGGTGGCACGCCGTCAGGGGCAGCCCCGCGCACGCCCACTCGCCCCCCTCCGCCCCCTCGCCGGGGGTCAGCAGAGACGGCTGCACGCCCACACTCAAGGGGATGGAGTCCGGCTCCTGCTGCTGCTGCTGCTGCTGCTGCTGCTGCTTCTTGTGGCGCCTGGCGTTCGGCTGCTGGGGGGGGCTGGTCGGTGGCCTCTGGCGCGCCCTGGAGATTGAGGAGGGTGAGGCGGCTGGTGCTGACGACGAAGCGCAGCACTCGGTACGGCAGAAGCACGTCCGCCAGCACCCGCTGCTCCTCACTCATCCCCCCACCTCCGCCCCTCGCTGCTGCCTTTGCCGTGGCTGACTCCGACGCGGCTGCAGCCTTCTCACCCCTCGCCACTGTTACTCCTTCTCCTGCTCCTATTCTTGACCCTGCTCCTGCCCCTGCTCCTGACCCTCCCTCTGCAGCAGCTGCCCCCTCTCCCTGCCCTGCGGCGCCTACCCCTGCAACTTCCGCTTTGCCCTTGTCTGCCAGGTCGACCCCTTTAGCCCTCTCGTCCACCTGGTCGTCCACTTTGGCCTTCTCCGCCGCCTCTGCCTGCAGGGCCTTGCGCACGACAGCAGAGCGAAGCATCCAGGAAGCAGCGAGGAGCAGCTTGAGCTCCCACTCGGACTGGCACTGCTGCAGGGCGGCCAGAGGCGGCAGGTTCTGCAGCACGCTGCTCAGCACGCTCAGCCGCTTGTTGCTCACTCCGCCCCTCTCCTCCGCCCTCTCCCCCGTGCCCTGCCCCCCTCCATACCCCCCACCCGCTCCGCTCCCTCCGCCACCCCCTGCTCCCCTGCTTCTGCCGCCGCTGGCATCAGTGGCAGCAGCAGCGTTGGCAGCAGCGGTGGAGTGGGCGGAGAACCAGCCGGAGCGGCCACGGAGCTGCTGGGCGGAGCAGAGGAGGAAGGAGGGGAAGGGCTCAAAGACGTCGCGGGCGCCGGCCTGGGCGGCGGCGAGGGCGAGGGTGACGTCGAGGTGCACGGCGAGGGGGAAGGCGCGCAGCTCGGAGAGGCTGTCGGACGCCAGCCCCAGCTCCTCAAAGCGGTAGAGGCAGAAGTCCGCGGTGCACGGGCGCACGCGCTGCGTCCTCAGCGCCAGCTGCTGCCCACAGATCACACACCGCTCGCACACCGCCTGCAGCTGCCGCGCCACGTGCACCAGCAGCCCCACAAACACGTTCCCACCCACCCTCCCCCCCCCCGCTCCCCTCCTCCCTTTCTCCCCGCCCCTTTCTCTTCCCCCCTCTGCGTGGGCAGCTCCAGCCCCTGGACGAAGGCAGAGACGGCATCGGGCAGAAGCGAGTCCAGCCCCACTCGGCACGGCGGCTCGCGACCCACGCGCTCGTCCGCCGCCTCCACCACCTGCAGCACCCGCGCCTCCAGCGCCTCCTGCACACTGCACCCCAGCCGCGCTGACGCCGATGCTGCTGCGCCTGATTTCACCTGCTCCAAGCCGCCTAGCCTTTTCAAGGCAGCAAGCATCGCAGTCTCGCTCAGCTTGGGAGGTGCATTGCTGCTCCACGTGCTGCCATCAGTGCCGTTGCTGCTGCTCTTGCTACCGTTGGCCGCGGTGGCAGGGTTGTGGGTGGGGACGAGGGGGTCCGTGCTGATGCTCCTGGAGTGCCCCACGCACTGCTCCAGCAGCACTCGCACCAGCGCCTGTCGCCGCTCCCTCCTCTGCTCCGCCTTCCCGCCGCCCACCTCTCCTCCTTCCCCCCCCTCCGCCGCTGGCTGGGACACCACCACACGCGAAGGCTCAGGGAAGGATGGCACTTGCGCTTCCCTCCCACTCCCATGCTGCTGCTGATGGTGGTGATGGCGCTGATGGAGGTGGTGGTGCTGCTGCTTTTGGAGGGGGCGGAGGCGCCAGGCGTGGTCGGGGAAGTGCAAGGCGAGGACGATGGGGGAGGCGGTGGAGAGGCTCAGCGCTGCGAGCGCCCTGGCGTTGCTGACGATGCCGCCCGCCTCCATCTGCAAGCGCACCATGCCGCGCTTGCCCACGCTGCGCACCGTGCACCACCGCAGCACGCGCTCCGCCTCCTCCCGCTCCGCCTCCCCCCCTTCCTCCGCGCCCAACTGCCACGGGTCGTCCCGCTCCGCGCTCGGACTCGGCCGGCTCTTCTTGCCTTGTTGCGCGGCGGAAAACGCGGCGTGGCACGCGGCCTGTGCTTGTAACGCCTCCGCTTCTATCAGGGACAACCCGTCCGTGGCAGAATCGCCAGCCGCCAACGAGCCCGGTGGGGAAACGCAGTGGAATCGCCCCACTCCCCACTCCCAATCCGGGCCGTCCTCCCCCTGGTCTTCGTCACACTGGTTGCCGTCATCTTCCTCTTCCTCCACCTCCTCCACCTCCTCCAAAAATGCGTCGCATCCGAGTTGAATTGCGTCGTCGTCGTCGTCTTCGTCGTCGTCGTTGTCGTCGTCGTCATCGTTGTCGTCGTCGTCATCATCGTCGTCGTCAGCATCCTCTAGTGAAGCATGAACGCCTTCGTCTGATTCAGGCCCTGAATCGCCGTTACAGTTAGCTCCGTCACAATGGTCTTCGATATAAGCATCTCCGTCCCCAGGCTCAGCCTGTTCCTCTGATAAGACGAACCCGCCGGCTGCTGGAGAATCTTCTGCAGGCGGAGGCCTCTGCGACGTTGGCGACGGCTGCGACATCGCCTGATTTTCGCTCCACACGGCGATAAGAGATGTTGGCTCCATTGCAAGTGTCAGTCGCTACCGAAATCGAGCGAGAACTTAGCAAGGGATTTCGCGGAATGGATTAGAGCGCCGCTGTGCGCGAGAATACAGCCACGCGCGTTGAAATGGCAGATTGAAGTTGTTGCAACGGAGTCTAGTGCTGCCTGCCATCGAACATGCAGTAGAAATGCTGCTTGGCGGCACATTACACCACGCACCCGGTCCGACTGTTTGTGCGATTTCCAAGAATCCTCGCGCCATTGTGCCAAGGGAGCAAGGGATGGGAGGGCAATACTGATGAGAAATCAGAGACAACTGTGCTCGCGCGTCACGTGCCACTCACAACAGGTACTGCACAGAAAATGAGGTGGTGGGTTGCGCTGCTGACTAGTCGAGGGGACAGAGCTACCGAGAACCCCGTACAGGTCATATGCTTTGTAGACGACCCCCTTTTACGCCGAGGAGTATTCCATATGCAATTTATCCTTAAGGACCTCTCCTTGTACGCAAAGTGAACCCGTCTCAACTGAATAGTAATTGTTGGGCTAAAAAAGACCCTTAGAATCTTTTGCAGAGACTAAGTCCCAGCTTGTAGAGACTTGAGACTTGGAGTAGTGCAGCGGAAGTTGAGGCAGTTGAACCCTTGTACTAGTATGTGAGAACAAGTGATTGATTAAGGAAACAAGCATACAGCAATATATAGAAGATAAGAAAGCAGTTGTAGAGTACAGTTACAGGAACGGTTTATCGAGTCGCACAGCGACTCGATTGCTGCTTCGGTTACCATCCATGATGCTGTAATGGTCAGTCGCAACCTCCAGTTGCGACCTTTCGCATACTTTGTCCGCCCCCTCGTGTAACCTCCGTTGACTCGCGTGCTCCCTTGTAGTCTTCCTCGAGTGTAGTGTTACACTTCAGAAACGCTTAAGTTCTTTGAGATATTTCCAACACTCCCCTTCGTTTCTGGAGTGCTGTTATGTTCGGATCTGGTGACGTTTGTCTGTCCGGTCAGCAGCATGCAGTGGTCGAATTTTGTCTTCGCCAATTTCTTCGTCAAATAGTCTGCGGCCATTTCTGTCGTCGGGCAGTAACTGAGTTGAAGTCTCCCCTTCGCGATTTCATCCTTGACGAAGAAGTACCGTAGGGCGATGTGTTTGGTTCGGTTGGCGAAGCCGTCCTTGTTTGCGATTTTGATCGCAGATTGGTTGTCGCAGAAGAGTGAGAAGGCGGGCAGGGTCGTGATCTTCGCTTCCTCGAGTAACTCTCGCAGGTAGAGTCCTTCCTTGGTCGCAGTACAAAGAGCGATGTACTCTGCTTTAGCCGAGGATAGTGCGATTAACTCCTGCTTGCTCGACTGCCAGGAGATAGTTCCGATGGGTTCTAGTCGGTAGATGTAGCCCGTCCTAGATCGTCGATTTTCCCTGTCTCCCGCGTGGTCGGCGTCGACGTATCCGAGTAGTTGTACGGACGGTGTTGTCGCTTTGCTGTAGGTAAGTCCGATCGTCGGCGTGGAGACGAAGTAGAGTAGTGCCCGGTTGAGTTCCTCGAGATCTTCCTGTTCCGGTTGCTTCAGATGCGTCGCTAGTTGACTCGCACTATAGGACAGGTCGGGTCGGCAGGTGACTGCTGCGAATAGTAGGCAACCGAGCTTCTGTTGATACTCCTGGATTTGCTTCGCGGGGAGTTTTGCGGAGGCGCTGTTGTTGTTTCCGTAGCGGTAGGGAGTCGGGACCGTAGTCGGCGTCAGTCCGAATTTCTTCGCGACAGTGCCTGCGTACTTTCCAGCGTGTAGGTAGAACGCCGAGTTGTCTTCGACGACATTTAGTCCCAAGTACTGGGTCACTGAGTCGGACACCGTGAGCGTCAGGTCCCCTTTCAGCTCCCCTTCGAACCAGGTGACGATGTCGGTGGTAGAACCGATATAGAGCAGGTCGTCGACGTAGACTATGAGCAGAATGTAATCTCTTCCCTTCTGCAGTCGGTACATGCCTTGGTCATGTGGTAACTGTAGGAATCCGATTTTTACGAGCCGGCCGTGAAGGTGCTGCTGCCAGAGCCGTGGGGCTTGCTTGATCCCGTAAAGGGATTTTTCCAGCTGGCATACTTTTGAAGGGTCGTCGATGAATCCGTGGGGTTGTTCGACGAAGATTTCGGCGTCCACAGGTGCGTACAAGAAGGCGTTTGCGACGTCGATTTGCTGTAGTGGTAGTTTCTTCGTGGCCGCGACGGCGAGTAGGATGCGCAGGGAGGTGTGACGGGAGACTGGGGCGAAGGTTTCTGTGTAGTCGGTTCCGTATCGTTGGTCGAAGCCTCGTACGACCCATCGCGCTTTAAAACGTTCGATGGAGCCGTCCGCGTTGGTCTTAATGCGGTACACCCATTTCCCCGAGAGAATGTTCCTCCCGTTGGTGTTGGTTGTCGGTACTAACTTCCATGTATTCCGGTCTTGGAGGGCTTTTAACTCTTTTTCCATTGCTTCCTTCCATTCCGCCTTATGTTCCCCCCCCAGAGCCTGCGACAGGGTCGATGGCTCGCACGGAGAAGGCGGCGGCGGGTGCTGGACGGAGACCCATAGTCCTAGGATCTGCAGTCCCGTGGCTGTGTGTCGAGGGGAATTTTCATTCCCGGGATAAGCTGCTTCATCACCGTCTTCAGGATCGGGTAAGAAGTTTGGCCCGATGCGTTCGGAAATATTCGAGTCGACGGGGTGTGGTGTAGCGTAGCCTTGGTCAGCGAAGTGGTAAAAGGTGTCGAGGTTGTTGCTATCGAGGGGATTATCTTCATCGAGTGGAACAGGTACGGAGCAGTAGGGGAGTGGTCCGGCAGCCTCCGAGGCTCCAGGGACGTCTTCTTCTGCTGCGTCAGCCTCGGCAGCATGGTCAGCGAAGGAGCGAAGGCCCGCGAAGCCGTCGGTGGGGTCGTCTGAGTTGGCAATGTTGTCCAGGTAATGCTGCAGCGTCAGTCGCTCGTAGAAGATAACATCACGTGATGCCACCGTATTTTTGTCTTGTATGTCGAGAATCTTCCACGCGTGAAAATGTTTTGCGATGCCGAGGTGTAGTCCCCACCGAGCTCGTTGAGTGAAGCGTCCTGCTCGAGCTGTGTGGGGTCTGTATTGTACCATGCAGCCGAAAACTCGAAGTAATTTTGTGCTGCCCCTTTTTCCCGTCCACAGCAGGTGTGGTGATGCGTTGTTGGGGAGCGATGACGAGGACAACAGGTTGTGCAGGTGGACTGCATGTGTCATCGCGTTTGGCCACAGTGTGTTGGGTAGTTTCATTCCCAGGAGCAGCTTTCGCATTGTCGTCTGCAAGGTCCGGTTCATGCGTTCTGCGACCCCCTGCTGCTGGTGAGCGTATGGTAGGGACACCAGGCGCCTGATTCCTCTTTCCGCCAGATAGGTCCTGAAGCGTTGTGACTGGTATTCCAGTGCGCCGTCTGACTGGAAACTTTTTAGCTTGGTTCCTGATTCCCGTTCGGCGATGGGGAGCCATGTTGTGAAGGCGTCGAAGGCTTGATCGCGCGTCTTGAGGTTGTAATGCCAAGTGTATCTTGTTGCTGCATCGACGAAGGTGATGACGTAGTTGAAGTCGGCTTCCGTGTCGTCTCGAGGCATGTTCAAGATGTCGCTGTAGACTTTTTCCATCGTTGCATATGCAGGCGCGCTTGGATTATGATGTGATGGGAAGGGTTGATGAGGAAGATCTGCTTCGGGGCACGTGAAGCACCGTGCGCGAGGTCGTCGAAGTTCTTGGCCGTTCGTTGTTAGGAGGGCGTTGCGTTCTAACACTTCGGCTTGGATGGTTTGTAGTATTGTACTATTTGCAGGGTGCCCGAGGCGTTGGTGCCAGATGTCGTCGGGAGCGCGATGTCCGGGTGAGCGGTGGTATATGTCGGCGTTGGAGAAGAATGCGACGACTGTGGCGGGACTTCGACAGACTTCTCGTGTGATGGGCATAAGTTGATCTGCTTCGGTTGGCGGTCCTCGGACTGCCGGTGGTGGTACTCGGCTTGGTCCTGCTACTGCTACTGCAGGTGATGGTTGGGACTGGACGCTTGTTGGTACTTGCCGTTCTTGTCTGATAACTGCTAATGCTCGTGTTCTTTCTGCTGCAGGTATGGTGTTGGAGTGCCAGAAGCCGTCACTGTCGAAGTCGGGATCAAGGTCCGGCGGGTGTGTCCAGGCGGCGAACGATACGATACCGTCGCTGTCGGCAGTACCGCGGTCGGGGACAAAGTCCAACACGAAGACACCGGACTTCAGGAGGGCACGACCTATGAAGAGGCCGCCCTTCCCGTGGTAAAGCCGGAACTCGTTGGAGAAGGAGTCGCACTCCAGGTGAATCCCCTTGGCCATTAGTTGGCTTACGCTTAGTAGGTTGTATCCCAAGTTGTCGACGATGAGTACTTTGTTGAGCTGAAGTATTACGTTTGTCTCCATGGATTGTAACTGAACCACGCCTTGTCTGTTTGTCTTCAGGTTTTCGTTGTTGGCGACGGTGATGACGACGTCGCGGTTGAGCCGTTTCTCCTGTTGCACGAAGCGTCCCGAGGAGCACATGTGTTGACCGCAGCAGCTGTCCAGGAACCAGGTGTTTCGTCCGGTTGGTTCGGCGTTGGCGACCGCAGCGTACGTCGAATTGACTTGAAGTCCTTGTGAGCGTGGTGGCGGGAGCTCTTCTTCGTCTGGCGCGTAAGTGGGTGGTGAGCCGGGTGCACAGTTGTCGATGTGTACCATGCAATTGATAATGTTTGGTGTCTGTTGTGCAGATGTTGAAGAGCGTCTTGGGGGACTTGCTTGGGTTGAAGCAACTTGTGGGTCTGCTGGACGGTAAACGCGAGGGCGGTTGCAGTTGACCTTGGAGTGCCCGGAAGTCTGACAGTTGTGGCAGAACGGCGGCACAAAGGTAGTCCCTCTGTTGTCGCGCTCTTGCTTGCTGCGTCGATTGTAGGTGTTGTCGTTTCTTCGTTGAGTGTAGAAGACTAACTGCTGCTGCTTCCTTGGTTGTCTTTCTTCGAACAGGTCCATCTCCTGTTGTTCAGTGTGAAGCTCGGCGCAGAGGTGCATCTCCGAAATTCTTCCGTGGGCGCGAAGAAGTGATCGTGTGGTTCTCCATTCTGGCCCGAGCCCGGCGAGGACAAGTGTCACGAAGCTTTCTTCAGTGATTGTTCCTCCGCACCGAAGCAGGCGGCCGCGGAGAGTCTGGCATCGACTCATATATTGCATTGCCTTTTCCCCGGTCTTCATCTGTATTGTTGTCAGTTGTTGCATGAGTCTGCTTTGCGTCACGCTGTCGTTTGCTTGATAAAGGCACTTGAGATGATGCCATGCGAGTTCCGCGGAGTTCCCATAACTCCGATATGTTCTGATGCTCTGCTGTTCTTGTGGTGACAGGTTCCGCAGGAGGACTGTATACGCCAGCAGCGACTGATACGTGAAGATCTCTTGCTCCTTTCCAGTGCCGTTGCTTGGAAATGGCAGGGACCCGTTGAAGTATCCCAGAAGATGCGCGGCCTCCATCAGCAGCTCGAACTTGAAGCTCCAGGTAAAGAAGTCGTGTCCGTTGAACGGTGAGGATGTTTGTAACTTAATAACGTGTGAGAATTGAGCCTGAAGACTGAGAATCTCGTTTGGTGTTTGTTGTGATGCAGCTGCT